TCTCCTTGAAGTTCTGTTGGTTTGTGTTCAAGATATTGTGAGATGATGTGTTTTGGGGTGTATATGAGTTTAGATTTGTTTATTGTGTTTTAAAAATCTTAGTAAATTAAAGGTTTTAACTTTTTAATGTAATTCTATATACATTTTTGAAAATTTATCTTTATTGTTGAAAGTATTATGGATGTCCTTCTTTCCCCCATCTATGTATATTTTTCATTTAAAGTGTGTTATTTATTGTTAATAACTATTAATATGACTTCACCAACTTCATTTAAGTTAGTACTTGCTTGATATAACTTTTTACATTTCCTTTCTTAGAATCTCTCTGCCCTTATATCTTAGATTAATTCTAGTTCACAGCATAAAACTGTTTAATTTTTAAAATGTAGTCTGCTATTCTTGTCTTTTAAATTAAGATTTTAGTCCATTTATATTGCTACGCAATACATTTAATCACAATACAATAGCTAAGAAAATAAACGCTGGATGTAGAATGCTGGATTTGAACTCTGGATCTGAGACTTAGAAATGCACAACCCTGGCAAGTCATTAAAACTTTCTGTGCCTCCTTGTTATTTGTTAATTTAGCTTTAAAGCAGCAATTCTTTCCTGGGGCTCTTGTGAAAATTAAATGAAGTAATATTTGTAAATTCTTTCCAACACTTGCTGGTATGTAACAGATACTGTGTAATTGTTTGTTATTATTATATTTGAAATAAACTTTTCAACTTTTAAATTTTTTTTTGCACTATTGTGATTTTACTATTTTATTTGTTTCACTGTTTTATCCCTTACCTTTATTGATACATTAAAATTTTTTTCAATCATATTCTATTTGCTTTAGTATCTTTTAAAAAAATCCATCATGATTTTCCCAGGAAAGAGTAAAAAGGCTATTCAAAAATTAAATATTTCTACAGATTAAATAACAGATTAATTACATTACCTATTAAACTCCAACAGAACCCATGGTTAACAAATATCTTGTCTAGCAATTTCCAAAACATAAGAATATTTGTGTAATCCTTCCTGTTTTGCTAAAATATAATACCAGTGTTCTTCAACTGAATATTAGTATAAACATTTAAAATATAAGCAAGATAATTGGGAAAAACATACTTTAGCATAGGAAGATAGCATGATTCAAGCAAAAACTGATTGATAATGAATTTCATTTATTTAATTATTATTTTAAAAATATATCTTTATTGATAATGAATTAAAAAAAACTTTAAACAATCTATGAGAGATTACCTTTTTTTTTTTGGTTGAAAAATTTTAATTATAATGCATTAAGTTAGGAAGAAAAAAAGCTAGTTCTCAGGAGCATTTCAATGCTGTCAGTGAGAAGGGTAGCATTTTCTGTGATTTATATCTTGGGCTTCTTTGATTTTAAGATCAAAGAGCTTTTTCTCTCTCTTTCAGTTTAACATGCTATGAATGCATTCTATTCTGTGGCTCGCCTCTTCATCAGTGTGCACAGCCTCTGTGCTAATTCTCTTTAGGAATCCTCTAAGTTTAGGTCACTTGACTTTTCAGGGGTTTCCCCACTTCCAGACTCTCTGAGTGAAAGTAAATTTACCTTCTATGTGCAAAACCAAAAGCTAAATCTATCCAGTCTCAGAGCTAATTCTGGGGTATTTTGCATCTCAAAATGGAGAAAATGAGACTCAGAAACAGAATCTCAGTGGACAGTTTAAACAAACTCCAAGGATAGAAATAGTACCAGCATGAACTCTGTAATCCTGAATTTCAGTTTCTCAGAATTTGTGGGAACCTTGGATATTATTTCAGCCAATCTTCTCATTTTACAAATGTGGACACTGAGACTCCAAGAGAGAGTAGGTGACTTGTCCACTGCGATAGAGACTTAACTGTCAGTACAGAGAAATGGCATTCTACGCAGTTTCTCATTTGGCAGTGCTTCATCTGACACATTTAAATGTATTGATTACTGTTGTTTTGTTTGGGGGGGGGAGGGGAGTTTATTTTATAGAGCTTTCCTTTCCCACTAGATTGTAAACGACTGAGGAAAGAACTGCAGCCTTTAAAAATCTGTCCAGCAGCCCCAAATCCCTTCTCAAATTAAAGTCTAATCCCAGGCCTGGCACTTATTAGGAATTCAATAAATTGATAAATAATTTATCTCTGGAGGAGCACCTGTAGAAATCTTGCTTTTTGTAAAGTGAAAAGCAATGGAAATGGATTGCAATTTTATAAATGCTGGTGTCAGAGATGAAAGGTTGCACCACAGTTTCATAGAATGCTGAAAAAAAAATCACCCATAATGTCATTTTATACGNAAAGCAATGGAAATGGATTGCAATTTTATAAATGCTGGTGTCAGAGATGAGAGGTTGCACCACAGTTTCATAGAATGCTGAAAAAAAATCACCCATAATGTCATTTTATACGTGGAGATACCTAATAGGACTCACCTGAAAAGGCATACATTCTGAAAAGTAGGGAAAGAGCATGTTAGACTCACTTTATGAATTACAAGCAAAATTCTAATAGCTAAGGACATCTGATGCTTCCATTAAATCATTTTCTGGTAAGATGATATTAAACTTCCATTTGAAAAGCTATTTTATTTTGTATTTTTAAAGCTATAACCCTGGCATTTAGTTTAACTTGTCACAAACCAGCTCTTTTAGAACAGTGGAATATATAAGGAAAAACAAAAAACACACAAAAAAAACACTGGGTCTGCTCAGTTGGAAAAAATGAGTCATTGACCACCTTTCATGAGAAAGCCCTGGAGGCAGGAAGGTAGCTCCAGAAGCTGCTGGAGAAAGTGATTACTTAAGTCAGCCTGAGTTTGCCTACACCATGGAAACAAGCTGGCTTCCAAACTGGGGCGACTCAAAAACCAAAGGCTTATTTCATCATGCTTAGTCCACTGTGGGTTCAGCCACCTGCCTAGGGAGGCTGTCCTGCGTGGGAAGGCCGAGCAGCTCACCTCCACGTGGGCGCAGCTTCCTTCATCCCCGCAGGCCTTCCACTAAATGCCCCCCAAGAAACACACTCACCTCCTACTCATATTTTACTGCCTGAAGCAAGTCATGTAACCACACCCAATGTGAAGCTGGGGTGTGGGGAGAATATTTTCCTGCTCTCTGAACAGGAAATGAGCAGGTATTAGCTGTGACAGAGATGCATGGATATCATTGATTTTACATTTGTTCAGACTTAAGGCAGAAGAGGAAGGCACGTGTCATAATTCTCAAAGGTAACCGAGGCCCTTGCATGAATAAAAAGGAATTTTCCTACCACAGGGACCTCAAATTTATTTTGAAATAAAGAAGCCTCTTGGTTCTCTGACTCAGTTCAAGCATGGCTATGAGTTCATAACATTATCCACAAAGTTAAAAGTTACTCATTGCAAGTCAAAGAAAAAGGCTTCATTCTCCTGTGGTCTGGGCACTCTGAGCAACTTAGAAAATGACAATAGTTTCTTGGGCAATTTTTAAAAAAAATCAAGTTTCTTAAGTTTTCTAATACAAGGTTAGTACAACTAGAAATCAGTTAACTGCTAGACATCAAATAAAAAAGCAGTAGTTTTAAAGTATGTGTGTGTGTGTTAACACAACCCTTAGATCAAAAAAGTAAAAAAAGACACACACACAAAAAAAAAAAAGAGGGAAGGAGGGCTTTTATTCCACTTTTGGAAACTACCCACCCCTCTTTTAAAAAAGCAATGCTTGTCTAGCAATAATGCAATAAAAAATATTTATCACCAATTACTGATAAAAAAGTTTATCTAGGGAAGGCAGGGAGGGGGGAGTGTGTGGGGAGAGATTAATCAAAGAACTTATATGTTTATAAGCATAACCCATGGACACAGACACTGGTCTGGGGAAGGCCTGTGCGTGGGATGGATGTGGGGTGGAGGGGATCAGTGGGGTAAAAAGGGGACATCTGTAATATTTTCAACAATAAAGATAAAGAAACATTTTTTAAAAAGTTCATCTAGAACTTTTAGTTTTTTGTTGTTTTTTAAATTTCTGCCATGGTTTTTCTCCACCACTTTGTCAATTGTGGCCTTTATATACCACTAAATATTTTATATGGTCTCAAATACAAATGCTTTATCCATAACAATACTAGGGTATTCTAGGGTTTTCTTATTTAGGGTAGTCTCAGTTTATAGTACAAATTTAAATAAACAATATGTGAAATATTAACAAAACAGCATGTGAAGTTTAAGGCTCTGAGGGATTAAATAACTTGGCAAAAGAGCATAGAAAGTAGGTAGCAGAATTAAGATTCAAACTCTGGTCTTTTGAATATGAATCTTGGAAATATACGTGTAAGTAATATCCATTTTAGCTTGTTTATAATTTCCTCTGTTACTTCTCTAAGACCAAAAAAGTGATTCTTACTTTCTTTAAGATAAAATGATATATTTAAGAATCCTTAAAAGATATTTTCCTTGTTCAATGGGATGATTATTTTTTTGAGCTACATAATGTCAGATCCTCTTTTCTATGGAATAAAGGTAATTTTATTTCATTTTGTGCTATGAATAAACCTCTCCAAAGGAAATGCAGAAGAAATGTGTGTGACAAATTTCTTCAAATTCCCTACTTTGTCGCCATCAGGGATTTTTGAATTTGCTGAACAAAGCATCCTAAATTACAAAAATTCTCTATTCAGTTGAATGATTTTCCTGAGGAATCATAACATAATAATTTATTCTAAATAGGATATTATACCTGCTTCAATTCTGTAAAATAAAACATTGAATTTATTTGCGCTAATCCAATCACTGTATATTGAAGTATGTAGTGAGGTAATTAAGAGACCTGAGTTACAGTTTTAATGTTTTATATGAAAAGAAAATATTACAGCTATTTTTGGATGACAAAAGCAGCTTGGCGAAGGAAAGGAACATAGTTTCATAAGGTTATTTTGTATGTTCTCCTCAGAGAAAAAGACTTTGCAGGCAGCACTTATTTATGTATTATGAAACTGCATCTTATTTCTCACCTCAGGTATCTCTCCATAGGTGCCAAATGTAATATATCAATAGCTGAGCAGCTCACTGCCCTAAAACCTTCTAGTATGCCTGACCGAGCTACTGAGAAAGCTGCTCAGATTTCAAGCCCTTGCAGATCCCTGGTTCTGGCAGCTGCTGGAAGGCTGGTTTCTTCTTAACTCCCTCTTCTATCAAAGGGCCACTGTCAGGTAGTTCAATGAAAACTGGTGAATTGGACAATTAACGATCTTTACTGTCTGTCAAAAACAAAAGAAAAAAAGAAAAATATATCCTTATTATTCCAGAGTAGAATCCTCTACCATTTATTGGAGGTGAATAATTGAAAATCCCCAATAAGTTAGAGTGTGTGATTCGTGAAAGAAACCACATCACTGTACTAATTCAAATGCATTCACTTTCTGACCCACTTCCTACACCTGGTTGGCTGAGAAGAGACCATAAAATCTTCTAGGATTTTGTGCCATACTTCCTCTGTGCGTGAGAGTCATGTGTGTTGATCACCACTTACTTTCAAGCATCATAGCATTTCAGTGCTCTGCTCTCTTTGAAGGTAAGCATGACCATATGGCTCACTTTGGCCAACAGAAGTTGTGTATCTCACTCTTGAATGGAAGCTTTAAAAACTGGTATGCAATTCTATATATTCTTTCCCCCTGTTTCAATCATCTTGGAAATATACGTCAAGCCAGAGCCTCCGTTATCCTAGNTGTTTCAATCATCTTGGAAATATACGTCAAGCCAGAGCCTCCATTATCCTAGATTCTAGAGTAACTATGATGAGCAAAATCCCCAGTTGGGTGTGAATGTGTGTGAGAAATACAATTTTTGCTGTATTCGAGCTCTAAGATTTCCCCCCACTTACCTCAGTTTAACCACTGTCTTGACAAGATGCACTGTGTTTTCCCAGAGTTTGCTGGATAAGAAAAGAGATAAAAAGTCATAGAGATAAACTGAAAATCTACTGAAATGTAGCCTGTGTGTGTCTCAGATTTTATTTATGAAGAATTAAATTCCGAGAAATTGGTTGTTGCCACTAGCAAATTGCTTCCTTATTAACCACACAAATGATGATAAGAACCCAAAGAAATCTTACTCAACAGAGAGCCAGACAGACTATTAAATATGCATGCTGATCCTGTCTTTTCCAAGTCCTCCCATACCTCTGGTTAGCTTTCTCCTGGAGCCTGTGTGTGTGGTCTACTCAGACAGCACCGGCATTTTCCTGATGGGGCCCAGTGAGTTCTGATTCCACTCTTTGAAATCTCACCTTATCTTGACTTTGTCTAGTTATTACCTCAAGCAGCATCTATCTCTTTTTTTGGGGGGGGGCAACTTTCTCTTGATCTCTTACTTACACATTTTATTTATCTCAGAAAAGATCTGAAGCCTCATTGGCTAGGTCCAAACCTTGGCTCCACTATTTGCAAATTTTATTATTTGTTTAAAATCTACTTTTAAAAATTTATCTTTATTGTTGAAAGTATTACAAATGTCCCCTTTTTCCCCCCCATTGATCCCCTCCACCTTGCAACTGCCCCACCCCCAGGACACTGCATGATTTAATTAAACATTTCTATTTTTCATCTTTAGATGATAATAAGGAAACAGTGCTCTCTAAGGGCTATAGTGAAGATTTAATGAGATAATCAGCACTAACAGCTTTACACATTGAGTGCTGTAATTACTACCATGCCAACACTGGCAATTCACGATCCTCCCATTGCATTCTGGAAGTACCCCATCATGTAATTCACACTATTACAAATATTCATTAATTTGTCTTTTTCATAGGATTTGAGTAAGAAGTCCTTAATTATAGCAAATAGAACTTTTTAAATTCTGACTCACAACACTTGCAACACAGGCACTTTTCCATAGTTTACTGACTAATAGCAGAACAGGCTAGCTCAGAAGGCTTTTGATCTCTGGCAAGGTTATACATCTTAGGCTACTTTTATTTAGAAAATTCAGACCTAATTGTGTAAGCTTGCCTTGTTTGACCAATCTCTAAAGAATTAAATGGAAATTAATGAATTATTATATTGTGAAGGCCTTTGGCTATGGCAAAATAATGTCTCCAAATCTTTGGTTACCTAACACAACTGTGCATTTCAGTGGATCAAGCGTAGCTCATACCACTGCAGTGATATTTAAGACATAATACGATATACTAAATGGGAAGGCAAATTTTCTGTTTTATTTTTGTAATTTCTAATTTATGAGCTTTTAAAATTGTAACTATAATTATTTCTTATTACAGGTACAATTTCATGCAATTAAATATCTCTCAGGTTGCTGCTTTTGAATGAGGGGAACTACGGGTCAAATAAAGATTGTCCGTTAATCTTATATACTTGAGTCTCTGAAGATGTAAATGGTTGACTTTAAAACTCCCGTGTGCCTGATGTGCAGAATAGATTTTCATTAGTTTACACAAACCCTGAATTTTATATCTGTAGCATAGTATATTTCTAAGATGTAAAGCAGTAGGAGAGATTAGCAACACACACGAATCTGAAGTCAACTGTAGAAGTCCTTTATATAAAAGAAAGGAAACTATGATTTAGCAGATACTTTTAAGATAAAAATCTATTTTCCATTCAGAGGGAAATTTTTAACAAAGTTACATAAACAGTCTCATGTCAAAAATCACAGTGACAATGTTAGTTTGCCGAATGTCTCTTCCATGACCCATTATCTTTTCAAGAAAGAAATGGAGATGCACTGAGTAGTAAAATCTATCTGACATGAAAGCATCAGCAAGAATGCTTTCATCATCCAGCAGGTCATATGCCTGACAGCTTTTATATTATAATTACTGTGGAAAAACTGAGAAAGGTGTAATCATTGGTAACCTGTCTTTTCCCCCAGCTATCGAGATTATGATGGTATCTCATAAAACAGCATGATTTGTTCATCAATCAGCATAATATCATGCAATTTTTGCTCCAGGTACAGTCTAAATGGGGTTTGGCAGAACAGTGTTTAAGGTTTTGGGTTCATGTGTTTATTTTTAGTTTCTGAAATTACCAGTTCAAAATTAAACAGAAAGAAGACAAAATTGCAAATTCCTAACCCATGCCTTTGTGGCTGTTTCTCTGTGATCATCTGCTAATGCAGAAGAAGGACCGAGAGACTGGTTTTTGACATCATGTGGTTAGGGTATAAAAATTGGTGCCTGAGGCTCACTTATGGGCCTCACTCTGATAGAGCCCTCATGTTCTGGGTAGATGTCCAGAGCCCTGCATCCTTGGAACAAGAATTAAATGGCAGTGAACACACAATGGCACGAATTGCACCTCAGTATTGAGTAAGCTAGAGTACCCTTGAAGAAGCCCAATCACCAAAATTGGATTAAGGTAATCCACAAATCCTTACCATGTCCGGGCACAGAAAGGAGCACATAAAATTCCTGAGTAAATAAGAATATCCTAGGTCACACTGTTTTGTACCACAAAAGTTCAACCTTAACCAAAAACAATCAGGGACACAGGAGACAAGGTAACATGATTATGAATCATATGCAACAGATAATAACTACAGGCAGTCAGAAATGGAAACTACAAAGATTAGAAATAACTCTACTCATTTGTGTTTTTTGAGTATTAAAGCTCAAATCTATAAATCTATGTTATTAATTAATCAAGTTTAGAAGAGTTGCTTCTTCTATACAATTTTATACACTCTGCGCTCTCAATTCATTCAGAATGATGCTTTTGACACCAAGTAAATGGATGCAATACTCCATTCTCAACGTTTTTTTTTGAGATTTTTAAAAATTGATTTTTAGAGAGAGGAAAGGAGAGGGAGAGAGAGAGAAACATGGATGTGAGAGTGAAACATCGATGGGTTGCCTCCTGCACCCCCCCCACCAGGAGACCTGTGCCCTGACCTGGAATCAAATGGTAACTTTTCGGTAAGGGGATGATGCCCGACTGAGCCACACCAGCCAGGACTCTCGGCCTTTTTAAAATCTATGTCTCCAATGGCAACATAAGTGCTCCAACCAGGACTATGTGCTTATAGATGTTCAGGCAGATGTCACTACTAATATCTCCCAAATCGCCATCAGTGACAGGCAACTGCCTAAAACACAAAATAAGTTAAATGTGTGTATAATTTATAAATATGTTTGTTATTTATCTTAGGCATCTTTAAATAACAACTTTATTCATTTTGCAATAAGTGCTTTCACTGAGTGAAGACCTATGTTATACGTTGATTTGTAAATGTTTATTAAGAAAACAATGGAACCTAGGAATTAAAGCGAGGCATTTCTGAATAAGAACTGCTCTCTAGAATTTGTACACTGTGTAGCCTTGGGCATATGAATTCATTTCTTCTCCTGAGAGATGAGCTTGTGATTACTATTGAATTTTTCTAAGTATTAGAAATAACATATGTAAAATATTTAGGACAGTTCCTCTACATAATAAGCTTTTGATAAAGAATGGGTTTTGTGATTGTTTTTATTTCCTGTTCCTGTTATTATTAAATATTATCCTTCATTTAGAAAAGCTGCCAGGCTTATAATATTTAATATAATCCTTCCATATGCTTATAAAGAAAAGAAAATGTTAGCAAAACCAAACATCTCAACTGTCAAACTGAAACCAAAATTTATCTTTGTTTTATTTCAGCTACTTGGAAAACGTGTGGGGTTAGGAGCTAGGAGGAGTTAGGAGAATTTTTTTAAAAGAATGTGATGATAGGATGAAGTATAGTTGGGGGAAAGAGATGGAGTAAAAAATAACAGGGGAAGAAGCTGGCATCTAAGTTGCTTTGCCATGTGTTTTACCTGTATTTTCTCATGCTCTCTTTCTAAGTAAAAATTACTGTATCCATTTTATAGATGAAGAAACTAAGGCTCAAACAATTAAAATAACTTACCTTAGTTAACACGGCTACTAAGTTTCAAAGGCAGAAATCAAACCTGGGTCCTTATAAGCCCCTAAATCTGTGATTTTCCTACCATGATATTTGTCTCTAACTAAATGCTGGGAACAAGTGTCCATTACATTTTAACGGTGCCCTGGCTAGTGTCACTCACCAGTTAGAGTGTCGCCCGCACATGGAAGGGTCGAGGATTCCAGTCCCGGCCAAGGCACCTACCTGGGTTGCAGGTTCAATCACCGGCCTCAGTCAGATATGTGCTGGAGGCAACTGATCGATGTGTCTCTCTCACATCGATGCTTCTCTCTCTCCCCTTCCTTCCCTTCCAACCTCCCTAAAAATCAATGGAAAAAATATCCTCATGTGGGGATTAGCAGCAAAAATATGTAATGGCAAATAAAGCCCAATGTATCAGTAATGTAACTAACTTTCATAAACTAAAATGAGAAACATGTTAGTTCCCATCTTGGCTAACCTCCCACCTAATGTAAAACTAATATAATTTAATAAAAATAAGCCAATGTTATTAATACCGAGCTTGTCAGGAATGTGTCTCTTACACAAAGGCAAGAAAACTCAGGAAATACTCATTTACTCAAATGAGTAAAATAGTAAATAGATAATGCAAGATAGTAAAACAAACATACACTGTAACTACAACAATGTAAGCATACTGAATTCTAAAAAATAGTTAGAATGGAATTGCATTAAAATAAAGGAATTGGTAAACTATGATAAGAGAATTATTCTTTTTCTTTCAAAAGTTAAGTACTGTTGAGATATTTCTTTCTAGATACAAAATAAAATTGAAAACAAAGATATTCAATGTTTCTGAAATTTAAAAGAAGGAAAGAAATGGAAGTAAACTTACCAAATAAATAAATTTTCAAGGAAAAAATTTCTGGCTCTAATATGGTAGTGTGTTTGCAAATGTAATGAAGGATGGTCTTAATTTTCCTATTTCTTTGACTCATTCCAAAATAACAAAAGATAAATTTGCTGAGAACATTTCTTACCCTTATTCCACAGAACACTGAAATGTGAAGCTATTTCCAAATTATTCATTCCTTTACTTCTTCATGCATTTCACAGTTGAGTCTGCGATGCACTCAGCACGGTGCCAGGCTCTGTTAGGAATAAAAAACAGATACAAATTTGAACTCAATTCCAGGAGTCTATGAGCCCATTACCGCTGATATCTAAGGGGGCTTAAGGACATGAACACATGTGTTTACTGCATAATTAGATGAGGCAGAATGTTGCAAGTGCTGAAAGGATTTGTACAGATCAAAAGTTCTAGAGTGAACTAGAAAGTCAAGGTATTATCTTGGGCTAGTGTTTTCAAGGAAGCAATCACAAAAGTGAGGTCACTTGAACTGAACCTTACAAAATAAGGTAGGTTTCTTTTTTTAAAAACAAAATAAACAGAGTTTTTATCTTTATTCCACAAAATTACAAACCTAGCAATGACCTCTCTGCAACTTTATTTCAGAGTGAATTATTCAATTTATTATATTGTCAACCAAGTGGTAAGCTATTTAATAATTACTTTATTCAATAAATGTTTCTTGGCACTAGTTTTGCTTAGGGTGTTATGCCCCAGGATAAAGACACAATGGTGGGCTACACAAACTAGTTCCCTTGGTAGTGAAGCTGACAGTCTATCAGGATGAAATAGATTATTAGCTCAAAGCATAACTTCCATTGTGATCAGGAGTAGGAAGGAGAGCTACAGGTTGATAAAATGATGTCTTATAAGGAAATCCCAGCTCCTCAGCAGAGACCACACAGGCTGTGCACACCACAACTTCAGCACCATCTTAAAAAACATACAGCACAGTGTGAAGAGACTTGAACTGTATTTTTATTGAATGGGAAGTTCCTACCGGGAGTGACATAATCAGCTATGCATTTATAGATGATGCTCTGCCTAATGTGTGAAGAATGGATTGGGGTTGAGAATGAGAGTTGCTATGCAATGAAAAAAATGGCTTTTTTTTTTTTTTTTTTAAATGGTGTATGGAATGAATAGTAATGGTAGTAGGAATGGATTAAATAAGTGGATAAATAAAGTTAGAAGACAGAATTGATAGGATTTGCTATGGGTTGTATATGGGGGTGAAAAAATAGATGCAAAGTTCTTCAGTTGTTTTTTTACTAATAAAGGCCTTAGTATTAAATAATTTGGAGGGAATATTTAAATTTTTTTTCTTTATTCTTACTTTGTATGATTTATCATAAAACCCTTAAATGGACATATTGATTAGGCATTTGGATATATGTATGAAAACACATAAAATGGGTTCATTTCTTTTATTTGGGATTCTCTGATGAGAATGTATAAGATATCCTAAAGGGAAGTGATATTGACAACAGAAAACAGTATTAATTCATGCATTAAAGAATCAATTTTCTAAAAATCACAGTAGTTAAGTGAACTTAATCAATCTTGAGGCATTAGATTTCTCAGCTCACATTCACTGCCTGGCAAGGAAATTCTTCCCCATCCTCAGGTCTTTAGCTTGGCTCCTGGTGTAGCTCCAGGTAGGTTCTGGCACAATCACAGCAGCCACCCATCATCATCAGGACGTTGTTGTCAGAGCTGATGAATTTTTATATTCCTCTTTATATGTAGCCCAGAAAAACTCCCAGTGAGCTGTGGCCCTCTGGCATCTAGTTTTTTATTTCAATTATCTGCAATAATAAATCAAGAGCCACCATGGAGTAGTGAAAAAAGAACAGGCATTCCATGGAAAGACCCAGTTTAAATCGTGGTCCTCCTTGTTTTGGGTGAGTTACACCATCAGTTCTACTCCTCTCCCTTGTGAACGTTAGATGTGGAAATGTACATAAGTATGTCCAACATATATTAGGTGCATAACAAGTCTTACTTTCCATTTTCCCACAATGAACAATCCTTACCCTGCTTTTACTTCCTCTCGTCTATATTTCTGGTCAATAGCTTCCCTTCCTCCCAGTCCTTGGATGCCTATTGCTTCTGCTCAGTACATTCTCTGCATCTAATTCCAGCTGATTTTAGATTAGAGAATATCCACTGTGGGAAAAGCGTATTCACATAGATTGCTGTTTACTTACCATGTAAAGAGATGTAATTGCAGTGTACAAAGACTTGGGAGGGCTTAGGAATCAAAACTCAATTTAAAGGAGATAGAGGAGAAAAATAACCTGTCATTCCTCAGGAAGAAGAGGCTTCTGGGAGGCCCTGCACTAACAACGCTGCACGTTAGATGGACACTCTCGCTCATCAGATGCTTTATGTCCACGAGTTTGCTTATTACTTACGATAACTTTCTGAGGTAAGAAGGGGTGATATGGTTCTCATTTTAAAGATAAGGAAACAAACGCTCAGAAAACTTAATAGGCTTAGTGGTAACCCAACGTGGTTCCAAGAGATCTGAATTCCAAACCAGACTGTTGTTTATCACCCCCCCCACCATTGTGCTCTTCGAGGTACTCAATCTTCTACTTGGGAGGAGGGGGATGGGACTTCTTTAAGATCTATTCCATACTTAGAGTCTGAGACACTCTAACTTATCCAAAATAAACAGAAAATTGGCAAAACTGGGATAACAATTCTACTCTCTAATTCAAAGCGTGTTCCATGCGTCACTGTGCTCTAGGCACTTTTTTGAGCCCTGATGCATAGGAAAGGTGATTTGGTCCAAACAGAACGTTTTAGCAGCTGCATGGGAAAAATGGAACAGGGCAGACAGGAAGCTGTCAAATCTTAAAATATTCTTACCATTCCTACAGGTGATCAAGATATTCTGTCAGTACAGTCAAAGTTCCAAGTGAAAGACCATGGCACATCTATAAATTATAGTAGATAAAAATGTAAGAGTAGCCCAAATAGTATTTTTGAGATGACTGACACTGGTGTCTGGAAGGTGAGCATACCTTGGCTTCTTTAATAACCCAGATGGATTAAAAAGAGCATCCGGGATGGCTAGGAGGGAGTTTGCAGCGATGTGGTGAAAGGGTCATATAATGACTTGACTGAATGTGAATGTGAAGGGATTATAGGCTGAGCTTCAGGTTTCTGGATTGGTCAACAGGTAAGAATATCGGTGCCCTTCTCCAGGGTGTCAGCAGCAACTTCTCACTGGACATCTGTTGAAAACAAACAAGCACCTTTGTTTCTCTCCAGTTTGGGCTACTAGGGTTAAGTGACCAAATTATAACATAATTTAGTGGCTAGGAAGCTGGTGAGCAGGTCAAATCTTCTCGTTGGTAAGTTTTGCCCATTTTACTTTTGATTAGATGCTGTATATCAGGAAAATATATTCCACCTCAGACTCAATACATCTATGCAGAATTATTTGGGTAACATGAATGGAAGGAATTATGATAAAATGGTAAAAATATTTTCTCAATCCTCTGAAAAATTGTCATAGTAATAGAAGATATAAATCATATTTTTTGTTTGGTGAATAAACCAACAAAATCTGGGAACTTTGAGAAATGTTTCAATGCAGACAATAATTTGAAGAAAATAACTATATTCATTATTTAATTGTTCTAGCAAATGTTTAAGAAGAGCTTGTTATGCTTCAGGCACGCTTTATATTGGATTTCATATATATGTATATATATATGGTGGAAGGTATTATAGTTGGGTGAAAAGGCAAATATGTAAATCATAAGGGAAAAATTCTGTGAGAAATTTTTCAGATACAAATTCATCTCTAAAAAGAATGCATGAAAAGGTTTATCTGTGCCTCAGGAAGTCAGGGAAGACATCATAGAGTGTCGGCTAAAGTGAGTACTTGAACAATGAGCAGGAGTTCTCAGAACTGCAAATGTGTAAGCTCACACATTATAGGAAAAAAAGAGCATGTGTCAGAAATTGTTCAAGACACTACAAGGAATTCAATATTTCTGGAGGCTCTAACAAGAGTGAAACTGGTATCATAAAAGTATTAACAAGCTTACAGGCCAGACCAAGGCATGAAGAGTCTTATAACATGTGCAAATAAATTTGAATTATATCTTGGAAGCCATAGGGAGACATTGATGAAATTTTTAAAAAAGCAATAACATCCAAAGTGTTTCAAAAAGTGCATTGTTATAGTAATAAAAATAGATTAGTTTTGGGATGAGACAAGCATTAGGAAGGCAGGATTGAGGTTAAGGAGTCTTTTATTCTAACCCAGGTAAATGAAGGTAAGTGCTTGAATCAGACACGTGACTATGAATGTACAAAGGGGAATGTACAAAGGGCACAGTCTGAGCAGACTGACTTCCTTTGTTCTGTCTTGGGAAATAAAGAGATAATGTCTGTCAACAGAGTTGTGGTAGCTGAAGAAGGCATGGAAGAGATGAGGCATTTGGATTTACAGCTGTGTGTATTATTAACTGTAATTAGGGTGTTATTCAAGACATAGGTGAGCCATACAACTGTTACTATCAGGGGGAAAAAATAAACAAAATTCTTGTCTTAAAGCTGTTTATATCAAAATGGTCTGCAAGTGTGTTAAAAGCAAGAACCAGAGGAAGAGTTACTCAGTTGCCATAAAGCAAAAGAAGCTTAAATTTCATGACCCCTTACTTGCCTGAGCTCCCTTACAAGGAGTTTTAGAGACGTGTTCACCTGGCCATTGCCATAAAATTTGACTGAGTGTAATATTTAACCACAATCAGCTAAGAATGGGCTCTCACCAAGCTGATATCCCCACCCCATTTTTTCTCCTGTCAGGTGGGACAGTGATTACTGTCATTAAGAAGCGAACTAAAGGAAGTTGACATGAAATGCTGAGGCTGAAGAAGACAACAGAAGGTGTACAATATGCTACTACAATAAGACATCAACAAAAAACTTGTGAAAAAGTGACATCAACCCAAAGAATCTCTAGTCACTGGAAGAAAACTTGAAATGCCCCAAACTCTCAGAGCTCACCTGTGAATGAAGTTGAATGACAGTTTTCTAAATTGGACAAGAATCCTAAAAATGTTTATGACATCACCAATGATGACCTAGGAAGTGGAAATCAACAACTACAATGAATGAATGCATAAGAAAAACAACCTTGATAAATGAGTAACTAAATTATTTTTTTCAATATAGACAATTAGTTAAAAAAAAAAGTTGTCATACGAAGAGGTGATT